CGGCACCAAGTTTGAAAATTATTAAGATCTGTTTGTAAGTCCGACTGGCAGGCAACGTCATTGTATTGCACGCAAAGCTTGACGTCATCCGCGTACATAAGTACTCTGGAGTTAGTCAAGACTTTGGGCAGGTCATTTATGAACAATGTAAACAATAAGGGTCCCAAATGGCTTCCTTGCGGGACACCAGATGTAACCCTTAGAATATTGGATAAATTATTCTTAAAGAGGACCTTTTGCGTCCTGCCATTCAAATAACTAGAGATCCAATTAAGAAGATCACTTGGAAAACCCATTGAATCGAGTTTTCTAACGAGGAGAGAATGATTAACAGAGTCAAATGCTTTACTGAAATCAGTATAGATTACATCTGTCTGACAATTATTATGGAAGCCCTTTATAATATAGGAAGAGAGCTCCAAAAGATTTGTTGTTGTTGATCTTCGCTTAATAAAACCATGTTGACATGGAGAAATAACCGATCTATAAAGGTGCTGTAAATGAGGGGTGATAATATTTTCAAATAATTTTGGGATGGCCGACAACTTAGAGATTCCTCTATAATTGCTGGCATCCAATTTGCTACCTTTTTTGTGGAGAGGAATAATAAACGATTCCTTCCAAATAATGGGAATTTCAGAAGGGGATAACACAGGGCGTCGGCACAATACCTGAGCACACAGCCAGGAATTCCGTCGGGACCTGGCGAATAAACTGGCTTGACACGATGAAGATCTAAAAGGAGAGAGCTTTTGTTTAGGCTAGGACAGAAAATTAAGTTTGATTTGATATGTATCGTAGGAATAGGTCTGGTGTAGATACAAAGAGCTAGAATAGGTTGTTTGAAAAAACTGCGAAATAGATCGGCTATTGCCTGATCATTATTTGCGGTAGTATTTTCAAATGAAAGCGAGGAAGGATTTGTTTTAGGTTTACGTTTAGTGTTAACGAAATTATAAAACTGTTTTGGGTCCTGTGAGAACTGGGCCCTACAACGAGTTAAATAGTTTTTGTAACACTGCGCGTTCAGCACGGAAAAGTTTGACCGAGCTGATAAATAAAATGAAAGGGCAGATTGAGAACCGGTGATTTTAAATTTAGCATACAGTCTAGATTTTTTATTTTTAAGTCGGCTCAACTCTTTAGTAAACCACGGCGGTTTATTCGAGCTTGGCGGATAATATAACGGAACACATTCAGTAAAAAATGAATTCATGGCACTGTAAAAAATATCAACGGCAACTGCCATGTCAGTGCACATGTATAGATCGGACCAATTGAACTCGTTTATAAAATTATTCAGCCGTTCAAAGTCCGTTTTGCGAAAACATAGGACTTTATTGGCTGGACGGTCAGAAATATGCTGTACGTCACACCCAATATCAAGAGTCACATCGAAAGTTGGATGATAAGGATCTTCGGGCTGCGTCAGAGGCGCCACCCTTGCTAAACTGACTCTCGCAGGATCAGAGACGAAGCAAAGATCAAGCAAGCGCTGTAAGGAATTTCGCACATGGTTGACTTGAGACAGCGAAATGTCAAACAAGCCAGCGATAAAGTCATGTTGTGTAGGTGTATTGAGAGTATTGGTGGAATTATTCGAGCACCAAATAGCACCAGGGATATTAAAATCTCCAAGAACTACCAACTGGTCTCTATCCAAAAGTCTACTGGAAACCATCTGAATAGCGGAAAGGTGATTCCAATAAATAGGAAGTTCCGACAGTGGAGGTATGTAGGAACAGGTAATAAAAATTGAGCTACCTTTGATAGATAGCTTCACACAGAGGAATTCAACATCGTTGCATTCCTCGAAGGTTAATAATTCTGACGTGAGTGAGGAGTCCACCGCTATAAGAACTCCACCCCCGCGTCTGATAGGGCGATCTAGCCGATATACCGTGAACACAGCTGGAAAAACTTCGGAGCTCAGAATCTCCGGCTTTAACCAGGTTTCTGTGAGCACAATAACCTGAGATGCAAACGAAAGGCTATCAGAATACAAGTTAGGAAGCTTACTACGTAAGCCTCTTGCATTCTGATAGGAAATACCTAAGGAGTGGGTTAGTTTTTTGGGTCGGGATTGGAAGACGTAGAAGGCGCAGTGGTAACATCAGGCCTGGGAAGAGTTATTCCTACAGGCCGCTTTTTCTTTTTCTTCGCCTCGAACTCCTTAACAACTATGTACTCTGGCCAGAAGTTGGGAGAGCAAATAGTGTTAAAGAGCTCGTTAGGGACATTTATCTTGAAAGATGAAATGTCCCTTGCGTAAGAAAATTTAAACTTTTCCACCTTTATCTTAATTTTTTCGGCTCTGGTTTTGCCTTGTATAAAGGCGAGAACATCTTCCGATGTTTGATCAGGGGAGAGCCGCGAGACAAAAATATGTCTCGTTGGTGGAACAGCTATAAGGGCTTTTGGCAAGGCAGATTGGTTATCTGCCGTGCCATTGTCGGCCGGTATTCCGGGCCTAACACCCTGGGTAGATAATGGTGTGTGCACGGGACTTTGAGGGGTCAATATTTGCGACCCCCCAGGGGATAAAACAGAAATCACCGGCGGTACGGACACTCCCGCTGCACATTCGGATACCGAATCTTTCCTAGCGCTCGATCTCAGCACTCTTGGAATTAATGCTGAGGTCGAGGGCTGTGCCGTGGGAGGCTGCTGCTGAGAGCCTGTTGCGGGTAGTTGGGGTCCGTCTACATGCTGCCCACCAATAGCAGTTTTTTTGCGCCTAGGAGACTCATTTAATAGCGTAAGGCTATTAAATTGGGTGTCCAGCGCCAAGAACATATCAAGAGTTTTACGAAAACTCGTTAAAATGCCCTTAAAACCGCTTTTGGTTTGCCGCATGAAAGACGTCATTTCCCTTTCTACATCGCGACAGGCCTCACAGCAGTAACGCAGGCCGATGTTTTTCCTTACATCGTCCACCGTCCGAGCTGCAACTCCAATACACTTGGCGTGCATGACGTTGTCGCACAGCCAGCAGCCGATTGTAAGGTCACCTGCAGCAATTGCCTTTTTGCAGGTTTTAACAGAACAGACAATGTTTGAGGACATTATAGCGACTTACCACTGTACTTTCAATTGAAAAAAAAGAACAACAGAGTTATGAAGAAAGAAGCGAGAGCGAGAGAGCGGGAGAGCGTAATAGATTAGATAAGATAAGAAGTGCAGCGGCACAACTTAAGCGAGAGAGTTGGAGAGCGTGGGAGATAAATAGATGAAACGTTTAGCTGTTGCGACGGCGCAAACAAAAGCCAAACGAAGAAGGCACAAAAAGGAATTCAAAATATGCAAAAGCTAGCACTAGCAGCACAACTAAATTGGAGAATAAAACCAATTATATACACAAAATTAGGATAGCTGCATGCACACGCGAAGTGAACGGGAAGTTATAAACACAAATTAGAAAATTTAAGTTAACCCCGGTGGTTAGATTGAAACTTTAACACAAAACGAGAGCGCAAGAAAAAACACGTCCGTTCACTTGGAAAGTTTGGTTTGACAAAGTTACGGCTCAGCATGTATTTTAAATCTGGACAACCGGCAGCGGAAACGATAGTAAACAGAGCTCCTCTTCGGGTACATTAAAGCCCAGTTCATTAGATAGCATGCGCTCCATTAACGTACAGGAATATCATTCGTCGATAAGGGCGAAAACACCAACCGCTTGCGGTAAGTCATTCGCTTTTACTTGAACATGGAGATTAGGAAAAGCGATCTGACTTACATATGGAGCCGTTGTCCATTGGGTATTTCCAAATGCTGTGTTCACTCGATATTCACAGTGTGCTCGTATTTTGCTCGTAATTTGATGCTGCAACCAATCCGAGCCTACCACGGTGCAGATATGCTTCTGCTGATCGTGTCAAGCTGTACACTGAACTTTCGACAGATTCGTCAAACTCGTGATCTATTACTATCCATGACGTCACTCTTTGTAAGAGGTGCTTAACAGAATTTTCGGATGGCAAAGAATTTCAGAATGTTGGGACGCTCATGGGTCCTAGAGCTTTCCACATAAATCGAGCCTCTGGTTATAATATACAGATAGATAGAATTTTCTCGGTTTCGCAAATCAGTGTTAGTTTATATAAAATTAATTCATATATCGATCAGTGTTACGCAATATCAGTGCAAATTCAAACAAAAACAGTTGTCACAACTGAATGTAACGGATATTCAAATTGGACAACAAGCTCGCGGCTGCAAAACCTTCGCCATTCTCGTAACAAAAACACACGAAGACACGCACATATTGCATAAAAAGGTCCAGCGAAATCAAGCCCAGTGTGCATAAAGGGCGCAACGCGTACTTTTGGCCTTTTGTAATCTACCCTTAATTGTGCCTGCACCTTTTTTCGGTGCGTGATACACATCTCTTACGTCGTGTTAACCCGTTTGACAAAGGTTCGCAGCTTTGGGTTACAAAATCTGGTCTGGATTAGACGATCCATGAGCTGATTACCTCCGTGTATAGAAATACGGTGAGTTGAAAGTTGCTTCTTGAATTGGAGTTTGTTTTATTTCTCAGGATAGTCGGCACGTTGAGGTTGACTTATAATGGCCAGTTGCATCTGCGAAAGCTTTTCAGTCACCAGAATAGGACGTAGAGATGCGTCTACATCGGTTAATGCGATTGAAGTTGGAGAATCGCTCAAGAAGGTCAATCGCATGCTGCGAGCTGGTTTGTCGTAATTCTTCAAGGGTTTACTTTTAGTCTAAAATTACTTATCGTAAAAACATGTGTCTCGATGGTACAAAAGAGCGAAAGTTAATTACAAAAGAAAAGTGTGGCCAGCGATTCCAAAAAGGGAAATCTTTACTATTTAATAAGAAAGTTTTTTTTTTTTTTGTAAATTTGATTAATTATGTTTGTGTAGCAGTATAACTTTTAATCAGATTTTCTAAATTTATACTTCTCACTAATTTTTTTTTTTTTTTGTGTTCTTTTAATAAATGTTAATTATATTATTTTTTGCTTTTTTCAGCACCTGAGCGATATGAAATATTCACAGATGACAAGACTTTTTGCGAATAATTTGAAACGTGATTCAATTAACCGATTACGTAAAGTAAGAAGTCCAGCTACAGCCGAAATGCCTCCACCTTTTCCCAACGGTTGGTATGGCATTCTGGAATCGTCCCGACTCAGAGACGGGGAGGCTACATTTTTGTCATGTTTAGGAGAACATCTGGTCGTGTATCGCACTCATACCCATGAGGTATATATTTTAGATGCTTATTGTCCGCACTTAGGAGCGAATTTGGGTATTGGAGGGCGCGTTGTCGGCGACTGTATTGAATGCCCTTTTCATAAATGGAGTTTCCGAGGATCAGATGGAGTCTGCACAAATATTCCGTACAGTACATCAGGTAAGGTATTCCCCTTTAATACAAGTTACCTATAAGTTGCGTTGTAAAATGAAAAATTTTCAAAATTGTATTTTGGAAATCTAATCACTTATAACTATACAGTAAAGCGTGGGGTGTAGAATTTTTCTATATTTTCATAATTCTCCCCTAACAGATAGTTGCCCTTAGTAATTGTAACATTGATTATAGATGCACCCCACGCTTTTAATTCTGATTTTGGTGATCTTGTTTATAATTATATACCATTGCTCTGAATTTAATAATTTTGTTCGTAATTATAAATTATTTTCTTCTTCTTAGTTCGGTTATTTATAAAAGCGTGTTTTTTTTAGTTTTTTTAAACTATTATTTATTATAATTTGAAGACAATAGGTGTCTATAATATAAGTTTCATTAATAATGATGGCAGCGGTGGTGCCGCATCCATGGTTAATTCATTTCTGAATTTTAACAAAGATATTTGATATCTAGAACCGCGCAACTGCGCTGCCAAGAACGTCAGCAGCGGAGCGGCTACCTTATGTATATCTCATATATACATATGTATTTATATATGCTCCTCGCTGCTGACAGTGGGTAGCTCAAGAGAGTTGGATGTACATGCTTGTGTATGCATAAGTCGAATCGTGGGAATGCTGATTTCTGCATTTCTTGTCAAGGCAGTGCTCGGGTGATCGTGTTACGGTCAGCTCGAACCATGTCTTGTGTTTATGTAAACATTACAGCAAAGTGTTACAGTGTGTGTCCCTTAAGTACTCTTGGTAGAGTGGGCTTTAGTTATATATGTACATACTGAACAATTACTAATTAACGCACGATAGATTAGTTTTATGCCGTATTTATTTTTGTATTCTTCTCTCGTCGGAGCTGCAACTGCCGATCGAACGCTTGGCTTGAATATTTATTCGCTTACAATGTAGCTTTGCTTAACAGATAAGGCGACAGAAGAAGAAGAGAGAGAGCAATAGATAAAAAGAGAAGAGCGCCTAAGAGCGCAGCAGGTGCAGCGAAGAGATACTTTTCCGCTGGAAGAGATACTTTTCCAACTTAATCGGCATTGTGGGGCAGAACGGCTAGCTACGAATTTGCGGCCTCCAATTGGCCAATAACTTTGCCGCAATGTGGCAAGCAACGGTTGTAGTCCTGTATGTAAATATTGCCTTTGTGACTGAATGATCCTTGGGTAACAATATCGGATGACTCTTATCGAAGTCCAAGTTTGAGCTCTGAAGCCTTCCGGAAACGGCAATAAAACGCAAATTCGCACTGCAACTTTTCAAAAATGTTGATAAATTTGCAGATCGATGAAACGTCAATGCAAACGGCTCTAACTAAAGTTGCGGAACGACGCTCCGGAAGATCCAGAGACGGCCAATTCGGCGTGCTTTAAAAAGGGAAAGAAGGTCCGTTATCCCAAAGGGAATGATCCAGCAATTCTCTTGGGGTAAATCCTCGCTAGGCTACATCTGCCGGGTTTAAAATTGTCGGAACGTGATGCCAAGTCATGTCTTTCGTCATCTCCTGTATTTTCGCGATTCGGTGTGACACAAATACGTTGAACTCCCTCGGAGGTTGGCCACCGACAGTAGCTCCTTCAAGTGGCAACGAATTTCTTTCACCTCTTCAACTGAATCACCATCAGAAATAAAATCGTCCACTCATAAATCCCTGCGAACATTTTTTGCTCCAACTGGGAATGATTCCTCCTCATCATAGGAGAGCTGTTACATTGCTCTTATAGCCAAGAAGGCAGCTGGCTTTACTACGGTAGCAAGTGTGTCATCATCAGAATGATTGCAAGGATCCTTGACGATGGCAAATTTATGAGTTTATTTATTGCGTCAATCGGCAGCCCTCCAGACACGATCCAACCAAGTTTCGTGTTTTAAAGTATTGGCCACGCGCTATACAAATGAACTGGTCCCGTAGCAATTATTTGGAAAATGGAGTCACCACCAATTCTGATCGATTGAAATAAGAATAAGCGAGCGATATATTTTGCGGAATTTTCCATGGTTTTGCATTTATATTTAAATGATGCTGATAATTAGTGATACTATTAGTCACGACAGGAAAATGATGATCTCCGCATCACAAAATATACATAGTAGCTGAAGCAATTAATGCATTTGAGCTATATTTATGCAGGTTTTTTTCCCACCTGCTGGTTTGGTGTTTGCTTTACCAAGGCTTAATCCAAACAATCCATCATCCTACACCTCCTCTGCACAAACGACTACATAGAATCCCAAACAGATAGCTCGTTGATGGACAAATCCTCTTTCCATTTTTCGCGCGTCCCCTGATCCAGCTTTCGTGCGACGATGTAAATTAGCAATCCATCCAAAATTTGTTGCGTAGTGGCAAGGATACGGATTGCTCGCAGATGTGAACTCATGTAATCACTTAGCTCCCGAAGACCCTTGGCAGAAATATTGCCAAATATTGCCTGTACGTGTGCCTGAAAACTTTATTATTAATTCGATTTGTGAGTAAATCCTAAGCTTTTTTATAAGTGGGATTCGAGGGCTTAAGCGAACGTATGGTTTCTAGAGCCACGCCGCCTAAGCTTGACCTTAGATATTGTAATTTTTCAATACCACTTAGCTCCTCATCATTTCCGATGACCGTGGTAAACGTCGCAATAAAATCCGACCAATCAGAATAGGATCCACTGAACCAAACTATCTCTAGAATTGACAACCTTCCTAGATCGGAAAGAAAGATCCGGATGATTAATAATGTCGATGGATTGCGACTTGCGATGCGCCGCAAAACCTCTATTTATTTTCGCCTTTACATCTATAAACGCTATGGGAAATTCGATCCGATGGTCGCTCGCTATCTCCACAAAGTACAAATTTTCCAGCGAAGTCTGTGTGGAATCAAAGGCCAGGATTAAGGAATTAATACACTACATTCGCGCTAGTAAATCAGCTTCATCAAACTAATCTACCGACTCTGCGTTTATATAATAATACATCGAGTTCAATTGCCGCAGAAGGGATTGGGCTTTGGCTCAGTAGAAGTCCACGTCACTTCGCGGTTCATTTTGAGGCTTAACCATGTTTTCCGTATAGGACATTTTTATTTTCTGTCAATCGGACGCTTGGCTTCAATATTTATTCGCTTACAATGTAGCTTTGCTTAATAGATAAGGTGAGAGAAGAAGAAGAGAGAGCAATAGGTAAAATTGCTTTTTTTTACTGCGATTTCATTATTTACTTAAAATAATTAAATTACCCTCAAAAAGGTCACATCTGCAGATGACTTAATATTGGGTGACGGCAACAACATAAAGCCCGCCAAGTGCACTGGTGATCTGCGAAACCTGCAGCAATCCAAAACTTAAAGAGCTAAAAAGATTTTATCGAGATTGCGTAAAACTAATGATATTTTCTTGGGGCTGGGTACTAATTTTAATAGCCTAAATCAAGCATCGTAAGCCCAAAAAAGTTTTTTGGTCTGTACTATTTGAACGGGTCTTAACAACTAAAATTCGGAGATAGAAAATAAGTAAAAGTGGAAAGATTTTAATGTTCTAATTAAGTACCGTAAATAATAACAAGAAAGGAAGCTAACTGCGGCACGCCTAAGTGTACATACCCTTGCAGATAAAACTTCGATCACTATGAATTAATAAAATAAAAATTATATATATTAAAAAGCAATAATGTAATGCCTGCCTTCATTTTATTCCCCCCTACTTATTATTGTTACAGTTCTACATCCACAGTTTTGCATTTTCCTCTATATCTTACGATCGTTTATACGGGAGCTATAAGATATAGTCTTCCGGATTTCATAAAACTAAAATTGAAATTCTAGAATAATATAAAAGGGCTTTATCTCAAATTTAAAATTTTTGTTGTAAAAATTTTCGGATCGTTCCTATGTGATATGTTGTCCGATCCGGCCCGTTCCGACATATTTATATACGAGAGAGAGTATATAGAAGATTAACTACAAAGTTTCATTTAGATAGCTTCAAAACTGAGAGACTAGTTTGCGTAGAAACGGACAGACGGACAGACAGACATAGCTAGATCGACTCGGCTGTTGATGCTGATCAAGAATACATATACTTCAAGTGGTCGGAAGTGACTCCTTCACTGCGTTGCAAACTTCTGTTTAAAATTTTAATATTTTGAATAAAAATTGTTAAAAAATATAGAGTGGTATGGCAATGACATATATCGTTGAATATCGATAAGATGATTTTGTTTGTTGATTCTGTTTTGTAATTGCACAGCGAGTGTATTCTAAGAACTCTGAAATTAAGCACTCACATCTATATATATAAAAATGCTCTATTCGTGTCTACTTCCTTCATAGACTTGAAAAGTTCTGAACCGTTTCAGCCCAAATTTTTACACAACATGCGTTGAGGTTCCAGCTCGGTTATTGTCTACTTTTGATGTTGATAGCTTATCTGCGGTTGCGAAAATATCAATTTTTTAGCGTTTCCCCGTGCCCCTACTGCTGCGCCCGCCACAGGCAGCCAGCTGAATCGAAGCATTTCCTGTCAAACATTCAAAACATACTGAAAGAAGAAACTTGAAAAGTTCTGAACCGTTTAAGCCCAAATTTTTACACAACATGCGTTGAGGTTCCAGCTCGGTTATTGTCTACTTTTGATGTTGATAGCTTATCTGCGGTTGCGAAAATATCAATTTTTTAGCGTTTCCCCGTGCCCCTACTGCTGCGCCCCTTACAGGCAGCCAGCTGAATAAAAGCATTTCCTGTCAAACATTCAAAACATATTGAAAGAAGAAATTGGAGATAAAAAGTTTATTTTTTTGTTCAGGTTCAGTAAGAAAGAAGTCGAATTTGGGTCGTCGTACTCCCAATACAGAAACAAACAGACGTAAGATTACGAATATGACTGACGAAGAACGGGCCTCCATCCGAGAGACTGAGCGGCTGAAAGCAATGCAGATGCACAACGAGGAATCAGCAGAAAGACGAGCAGATAGGCTTGAGAGAAAACGATTGAAAGT